ATCATACTCACCGCAAAGGCAATGTCAGGACGCGTATGAGATAAGTAGATTAGTTTACCAACCAATCGCTGATATTGTTCTTTATCCACCTCATTTCCATCTTCAATACCTAACTTGGTATTAGGTTCCACAGGTGTCTCAGCAGGTTTACACCCTAACATTCCTGTTTCCAACAAAAGATCTAGAACATATTTCTTTTGTGTTAGAGTGATACCTGTTTTGCTCCTAGCAACTTCCATACCAAGGAAATATTTGAGAGTGCCAAGGTCTTTGAGTTCAAATTGAGCTGCTAGAAATTTCTTCAAGGTGTTCAATTCCTCAATATCATCACCTGTAAGAATTATATCATCTACATATACAATAAGAATAGCAATTTTACCATCCTTAGAGTGTTTGTGGAAGAGAGTATGATCAGTCTGTGCTTGAATGAAGCCTCTTCTTTTGATTGCTTGTGTGAATTTGTCGAACCATTCTCTGGGAGACTGTTTCAATCCATATAGAGACTTTTTTAGTTTACACACTGATCCATTTCCCTTTTCAAAACCAGGTGGAGGATCCATATAGACTTCTTCATGTAAGTCACCATTTAGGAATGCATTCTTCACATCTAACTGTTGCAGAGGCCAATCTAGATTGGCAGCAAGAGATAAGAGAACTCAGATGGTATTGACTTTAGCAACCGGAGCAAAAGTCTCATGATAATCTATCCCATGAGTCTGAGTGAAACCCTTTGCAACCAATCTTGCCTTGTATCTGTTGATGCTATTATCTGCATTGAATTTTATAGTAAACACCCATTTGCATTCTACTGCCTTTTTTCCTTTGGGTAGGGTCACTATCTCCCAAGTTCCATTTCTTTCTAAAGCATTCATTTCTTCAAAGACAGCATCCCTCCATTTTTTATCATTGAGAGCCTCATGTATATTTCTCGGTATCTTTGTACTATCCAACATAGTATTGAAAGCACGAAACCCTGGGGACAACTTTCCATATGAAATATGATTAGAAATAGGATGAGTAGTACAAGATCGAGTACCTTTTCTGAGAGCAATGGGCAAGTGTAGATCATTTTCACCATGACACTCAAGTATTGGGGTGCTGGAACTAGAACATGGTTCAGAATCCTGGCAGTGTAGAGGCTCTGGGTTATTCACACTTTGAGGAGGCTTTCGCCTGCTATAAACTTGTCCCCATTTTGAGGAGGCTCCTGATGGTGAGGATTCTGTAGCTCCCCCTGTTTCTAAAAGTAGAGGTAATACTGTGGCATTAATAGGTTCCCATGACTGATCTTCATCTACTCCTATAGACTCCCCCTGAAGAGAAGTCGAGGGGAAGAAAGGGTCATTCTCAGAAAAAGTGACATCCATAGAGACAAAGACCTTACGAAGAGAGGGTGAATAACACTTATAGCCACGTTGAGTAGGAGAATAACCAATAAAGACACACTGGAGAGACTTAGGATCAAGCTTAGATCGTTGATGGGAGGGAATATGGACAAATACAACACAACCAAATAACTTGAGAGGTAAGGAGAAGACACCTCGGAAGGAAGGGAAGATACGAACAAGACTAGAAAGAGGAGACTGAAATTTCAGAATGCGAGATGGCATTCGATTTATCAGATACGAGGCAGTGAGAACTGCCTCTCCCCAAAGATATTTAGGAACACTCGTGGTAAACATAAGAGCCCGAGCAACTTCAAGGAGATGTCGGTTTTTTCTTTCCGCAACTCCGTTTTGTTGGGGTGTGTCAGGACACGAGCTTTGGTGAAGGATGCCATGTTGGGAAAGATATTCTCCAAGAATAGAGTTAAAATACTCTTTGCCATTATCTGTACGAAGAATTTGTATAGCAACTTGGAATTGGGTTTGAACCATGGCATGAAATTTTTTAAACACGGATGCAGCATCGGACTTATTCTTTAGAAGATACACCCAACAAACTCGAGAATGGTCATCAATGAAGGTAATGAACCATCGAGTACCTGAAATATTTTTAACACGGGCTGGACCCCATATGTCGCTATGAATTAAGGAAAATGGGGAAGAGTCATGGTGAACTTTAGAAGGATAATGAGCACGAGTATGCTTGGCAAGTTGACAAATATCACAAGAAAACAAACTTGGACTTTTATTAATAAATAAGTTTGGCAACAACTTCTGAAGATAAATAAAATTTGGATGGCCTAGCCTACGATGCCACAGCATAACATTCATTACATGAATCAAAAGGAAACATAGAGTTTTTTTCTACGAAAACAGCTTCATGAGTCACATCCTCCTCAAAGTAGTAAAGTCCACCATCCTCTCTAGCACTGCCAATCATCCTCTCCGAGTCCTGTTCCTGAAAAACACAACTATGTGGAAAGAATTTAGCAAAGCAATGCAACTCAGAGGTGAGCTTGCTAATGGAAATGAGATTACAAGTCAGAGAAGGAACATAAAGAACTGATGTCAAAGTAATCAGCTCAGAAAGTTTAATGGTTCTGTGTCCCGCAATCTGGGAAAAACTGCCATCGGCGATCTTGACCTGAGAAGGTTCAGAATATGGAGTGTATGAACAAAACAAGCCAAGATTACCTGTCATATGATCAGAGGCTCCAGAATCAAGGATCCAATGATTTTGACTATCAACATGGAAAGTTGTACCTTGCTGGACCACATGACTAGTGGCCTTAGGAGGTTGCTCGTGGTAATAAAAAGAGTGTTTTGAGGAAGCCATGAATAAAAAGAGAAGGGTTGACCGTTGATGAAAAATCAAGTTTTGTAAACTTTTGATCTGACCTCTGGAACAGGAAGGGGAGAAGCCGGCGAGAAGGTCTGTGCAAGTCGCGACGGAAAAAAAAAACGTCTGGAAGGCGGCGCGTGGTGGCGCGTGCAGCGGCTGACGGCGATGGGTCCAGCGGCGGTCGACTCGTCGGATCCTTCTGAGTCGAATAGTCACCTCACTTTTTTGATCGGAGGTCAGTAAACTAGGTTTCTGTGTTGGACAGATTCAAGGCGGTGTTTAGGAGGTGTTTGACGGTGATGGAAGTGTTTGGATGGTTATTTCAGATTTGAATTAGGGTAGGAACGAACCCGCTCTGATACCATATTGAAAAGAAGTTTTTGTATATTGATATTGAATAAATTACATGAGTGAGTATTTATACAAGAAAGAATCGCTAAGAATGACTAAGCGATGACTAATCAATCCTATCACAATCCTAATCACAATCAATTCTAATCAATCACAATTAATCCTAATCAATCATAATCAATCCTAATCAATCATAATCAATCCTAATTAATAGGAAATAAAAACGGAAACATGTTTGAATTCTAATTTTCTACAATATCTTTGAAAGGATGTTGGTTCTTACTGCATGGTCAGTTGGAAGCATAGGGCAGGTAATGAAATCTGGTGGCTCCTCCTTGTGATCTCTTATCACAATGGCCTTCTTTCTTCTCTTCATCATCTTTCTTTGTTCTTCCCTCAAACTTTTTGTGTACTTGGGATGGAGCTGAGAGTCTGAGAGCAATTAAGAGTGAGATATTAAGGAGTAGTGTGACAACTAGTGGAGCTGCCTTGAGTTTAAAAAATGCATGCGTGGACGAAAGATGACATGTTATTAAAACCTTCCATATTTACAAATTTGCCATGAATGTTCTAAAAGTAGCCTGTTAGTTGTCTAGATGGGGGATATTAACTTTTCTACTCAATCTCACATCTGGCAATAAGTTGGTACTATTGTAGAACTGGGGCATGTTGATATATGTAAAGAACTTAAGAACCTTGAGGTCACCATCCCAAAAGCTAGCTCTAAATATGGGATTATATATCTCAACACGCCCCCTCACGCGAGAGCCCATTGGGCTTGAAGGGTGGACAATGCACAGGCCCACCTACCTGTGCGAACAAAGAAATTCCACTTGAAAGAAAGTGGGGGGCGACGAGGATCGAACCCGGGACACGAGGCTCTGATACCATGTAAAGAACCTTGGGATACACCACCCAAAAGCTAGCTCAAAGGGTGGGAGTGCTCAAGGCCTTATAAAGGCCACATTAGTTGCACATACAACCAATGTGGGACTATATATATCTCAACACGCCCCCTCACACGAGAGCTCATTGGGCTTGAAGAGTGGATGATGCAACAGGCCCAGCCTACCTGTGCTAAGAAATTCCACAAGAGAAAGTGGGGAGTAGCGAGACTCTGATACCATGTAAAGAACCACTTAAAATGTAAAGAATATTGGGATACACCACCCTAAAAGCTAGCTCAAAGGGTGGGAGTGCCCAAGACCTTATAAACTCCACATTAGTTGCACATACAACCAATGTGGGACTATATATCTCAACACGCCCCCTCACACGAGAGCCTATTGGGCTTGAAGAGTGGACAATGCAACAGGCCCAACCTACCTGTGCTAAGAAACGCCACAAGAGAAAGTGGGGGGCGACGAGGATCGAACCCGGGACACGAGGCTCTGATACCATGTAAAGAACCTTGGGATACACCATCCCAAAAGCTAGCTCTAAAGGTGGGATTATATATCTCAACCTCACACAAGAGCCCATTGGGCTTGAAGAGTGGACAATGCAACAGGCCCAACCTACCTGTGCTAAGAAACGCCACAAGAGAAAGTGGAGGGTGGCGAGACTCTGATACCATGTAAAGAACATTGGGATACACCTCCCCAAAAGCTAGCTCAAAGGGTGGGAGTGCCCAAGACCTTATAAACTCCATATTAACTGCACATACAACCAATGTGGGACTATATATCTCAACAATATATATCATATGATCTGCTGTGTGAAGGAATGAAACTTATTCTATTGTAAGGAGTCATGCATTTTTCATCTCTCAAGTTTACGACGTAAATAAGTGGCTTCTTTCTGTATTATTATGTCAATTTATGAGTTATTTGGCTTGGGCTTATATTTTGTTTCCTGTATAATTATTATGATCAGGGGAAACTTTATGTCTGATCTTTGTTGTCTTTGATCTATATGGTCAGCTTGGAGTTTTTGAGATGTCACATTCAGGACTTCAGGCTGTTTCAAATGCCAGTGAAATGTTTCTCAGTGAGCAACACCTAGACTCCGAAATTTTAGCTGGACTAGCTGTTGCTGTAATAATGGATGGGTCCCGAACATTCCTTATCGAAATTCAGGTAATTCTCTTCTGTACTTTCAACGTATCAAATATTTTAAGTTGTCAAGCCCGATATGGATATCCTACTATATTCGATAGTTCTGTTGAGAAACTTAACTACCATCTGTCCGTCACCCTTGTCATTAATTGTGATATCTTGCAAGTTGCAAGCCATTATAAGAAATGATGATGCTTACAGAACACTATAAGTGCCAATAAATACACTACTTGCAGTCTCTGGGTTTTGGATCAAATATAGTACGCATTGAGGTGTTTCAACATTCTCTAATTATCACCTTAGTACCTTCTGTTGGAACTTTTATTGGGTTGAATCCTAAGTGCTAATCACAATGTGATTATGTATCTATATTGGAAATCTCCAATTACACTTTCTCAATCGCCATCTTTGTGTATCCTGTAGTCATCTTATTTCTCTTTATTATTTCTTCCCTAATCAAATGAAGCAATGAAAAAATGTTTTACTTTTTTTGTTTAAAAGAAATCAAATGTATAAATATTTACAATGTATAATTTGGAGAAAATCGAGATCAGCTCTTACTGAAGTCTTCTGATGTACTTACTGAGGTTTTCAGTTTGTAGTGCTCATTAGTTTCTTCGTGTCAATGTAGAAAGAAACTTGGAACACACTATTGCAGTATTTTCAGCATCCTTTCTGACTTGTTCTACTCTGACATCCTTCAAAAGAATTATTTAGGTTATTTTCCAATTGTATTTTGCAGGCACTTTGTCTTTCTGGTTCAACAGGTTCAAGGCAAGTTAATGGGATCCAAGCAAGTAGAGCTGATATGATCATATCAGTGAGTTATTTTCAAAGATTTTATTAACAGTCTTATCCCTGCTTTCATGTCAATGCTCATCTTTTAATCCTCTCTTTCTTCTTAATGGGAAAATGAAAGAATAGGATGCTTGAAGGGGTATTGCTTTACCCTTCATTGAAATGAAAGGTGTAAAATTGTTCCTTGATCATCTTTCCGTTCCTTGAACTGCAGGTTCTTATAAAGCAAGCTGGTCTTCGACTCCAAGAACATGTAAGCTGATTCATAAATGTGATATATCCTTTTGAGTTTGTTGTTCCTTCACTCTATTGAGTGGTCCAGTGTTCTATTTTATCATAATACAGATACTATGTCAATATTGATATGTTCACAGAATTAAATCCTCTGAATAAATAATAAATCCGAAAAAGTAGGAACATAACTAAAGAAAAATAATATCAAACATGGCAATGTCAACAAGTATGCAAGTCTTTTCACAAACTCTTAGTGCATTGATCTCTTATTACTGTTGCAAGAATGACATAAACTCAATGATCTAGGGGCCTACTTTAACTTCACAATCTGTGGGGAGGTGGTATGAGTGCACTGTGCATCTTCCCTTCGAGAATATAGAAGTGCAATGACGTGGATAATTTCAGTGAATTAGATTGACAACAAACAAATAACAAAATCCTTTTTCTAAAAAAAAAAAAAAAAATAACAAAATTCACATATGCCTTCTCTATTTGACTTTTGCATGATCATATGGAGTTTTCCAGCAAAACTTTGTGTGAATTAACTAGTCATTTAAACAATTGTCCATCACATCACCTTACTATTTAATTAGTTATAAAGTCCATCGTCTGATTGGTGCTTTATAATTTAACCAGCGGATATTTCTTGTTGATATTTGTATTGATTATATTCTATTTCCTTGTCTTGCCTTTGGTCAACAGGCCGTGTTTTTGAATGTTGTTAGTGGATTGACAGTGACTGAGACTGCTGGAGATCTTGCAATAGCAGCTGCAATTTGCAGCAGGTTTGAGTTTCAATTTTTTTTTAAAAAAATGATATAAAATATTGTTGATCGGACAATGATCAATGTCATGTGAGAATTGGGAGGGTCTTGTTAACCATTTCATGCACCTTGTTCGTGGAAATAAATTTTACAGAAAATTTATATTAAATAAACCATGATTATTGCACATGTGCTTTTTTCTCCCTTATGTTCCAAATATACCATTCTGGATTTTAATCTTTATTACTTCATTTGTTACCTCTGTTGTCTTGTCTTTTCCTTTTTCCCAGTTGCTTGGAGCTACCTATTCCAAATGACGTTGCATTCATTGGTGAAATTGGTCTTGGTGGTGAGATTCGCATGGTGAGCATATTCTTTATAATGTTAATATTGCTATTGATATCTATAGGCCAATCTAGAGTCTTCAGTAGCATAATGGTGTGCCGAATACAATATTGAAGGGCTTAATGATAAAATTTTTGCATCTGTTAAGAGATATATAAAAATCATTAATGTAGCCTCATCATCAGCTTAAGCTTTTGAGTTGAATTGGTTCTTTATATGGTATTAGAGTTTCGGTGTCACAGTTTGATCCTTACTGTCCCCCATTTAGTTAATAATTAATTAAGTCTAGTGGAGTTTTTTGGCATAGGTAGGTTGGTCTATGCATTATCTACCCTTCAAACCCAGTGGGCTCTCGTGTGAGAGTGCATGTTAGAGATAAATAAAAATCATTAATGTAACCTCACTCAACAGCTTAAACTTTTGGGTTGAATTGGTTCTTTACAATAAATATCATATGCCATGAGATGAAAGCTTTCCTTTGTGAGATTTGTCATTTGACCGTAGGATTGAACTCTTTGGTGGGCTTGCATTATCTGGTCAGCTATAGTTCTTAAAAACCAAGACGTGTTTGGCTGCTTCATCATCAAAATATTCATTAGAGGTTGACTGAGGTTGATTTCATTGAAGCAAGTAGCATCCAGCTGATTGAATCATATTCTTTGATTTCGGGGATCTTAGCTTTAAAATTTGCCTGTGCTAAACAAATTGTACTTCAAAACCTATACTTTTTATTGTGCTTTTCAAGAACTGCACATTGCTTGTATCCATGAATTCATAATATAAGGTACTGCTTGTTTTATTTATTATTTAATTCGGCGTTCTTATTTATGTTATGATACAGGTTCCTAGAATGGAGAAAAGGGTATACACAGTGGCGAAATTGGGTTACAGAATGTGCATAGTGCCGAAGGCAGCTGAAAAGGCTTTAGTAGGGACTGAAGGTTTAGAGAGGATGAAAGTTGTTGGTTGCAGGAATCTGAAAGACGTTATCAACACGGTATTTCCCAATATAATGAAAAGAAGATAGTGATTGATCACACTAAAAGCATTTGTGTTATGCTTGTATAGATCTCTCATATTAGGCTTTTAATTTATGTAATGTAAAATGTAACTCAAATTTTATATATAGCCTTACGTAGCAAGTAATTGTGCTTTTAATTTTTCTGCAAAAAGTACAATGGTACAACTATTATATTAGGTTCTAAGTACCAACTACACATCATTACGCGCATATATTGACAAACATTATTAACTGAACTCATCATTGATCAATAAACGAGTGGTTTTTTTGGATTTTTTTGGCGAGTAAGCCAAAGTAAAACATATCACAACATAAAACTGAGACAACACTTCTTAAAGGGTGCAGTAGGAAATAGGAATGACACATTAAGAGATAACAGTATGAATCTCCCCATCTGGTTTTTGGTGTTGAGTTCTTTCTTTACTTTCTCCAATGATATCTTTAGGATTCCAGAAGCTAGGCTGATTGGTTAAAGATAGTAACCTTGCCCACATGCGATCAGTTATCACAACCTTCTTCTGTGTCTCATTTATCCGCTGCACAATACCAAAAGTTCAATTCACAGTGAACTAAAAATAACTGCAAGATTATTAAATTTTTTAAAGGATAATGTAGAAAGATTGCCAAAAAAATGTTTCAAGTATCATAATAATTATCATGATCAACCACAACATAAATGGAGAATCTTAAATAGGGACCAACCCGAGTGATTGTAAAGATCAAATTACTACTTATATGGTTAATTGCTAATATCCACTTTCTTTTTTTATGGAGATACAAAATGGATGTTAAAATTTCATTTATCAGTTTTCAATACAATTTTACCAATAAAATTGAACCATCATTATTTTTAATTTTTAGCACTATACCAAACTGATGCATAAGCATAGTTATCTTCAGTTTGGCCTCCTTTTACACATATTGTTCAAAGATAACTTACATAAAATGGAATATAAGCATGTCTGTCATTGACCGGGCCAACTATGAAGCCTGTGTATCCAGCCATTGCACCATTAACAGCACTATGAGCAAGGAGAGTGCAATACACATTATCAGAAGCAATACTTGGAACAGCACGGATCATGTAGGTAGGATCTGCCAACAGCAAAATTTTCATTTGGTTAGAAAAATTTGTTTATTCAAGTAATATACTATCATTTGTACCAGTAAAAAGAAGAGGTCGAACCAATGTACTTCAGATTTATAGCCATTTTTTGATGTTTTGCAAAGTGGTCCTACAACAGAAATAAATAAATAAATTTGTTACTTGGAGAAACGAAAAAGAAAATTCTGCATCATGGAAATCTTGTGATTAGGATAATAGGCCAATTGCTTGGATGTAATTTGAGAGAAAATTCACAGTTCAAATGATGTTAAAGCAAGTGAGATTACTAAAGATGCTGTGAAATAAGAATATCTTACAAATAATTTTATATATCTATGTAGCTATCTTGAATATATACAATGAATTCTAAATTTGATCATGTTACATATGTTTTTTCTTCAGATTCTTGGAAGTACTAGACTTCAAAATTGTTACTTATAATGCAAGAAAAATAACACTTAATAGAAAATACATACTTCAGGAGTATTATTCCAGGGTTTATGTTGGTACCTGATTCTGGTACTTGGATAATTGCAAAGAAATAACAAGAAGAAGATGAATAACAACTTTTATTATAATCAGACTGAGGCATACACCATCGTGTCTACCCTCAGATTCATGACAACAAATTAACAATGCAGTAAAGGTTAAGGCCACTTCCTAACAATGGACTGGCCGATTATAAAAGAAGATTACACTCCCACCTATCCCTTACAGCAACCGAGGCATATACCTTCTCAGTGCTCTCACCCACATAATGACAATAATCTTTTCTGCCTTCTCTCCTTTCCCGTAACCAACTTATACTGCCCTCACCTCTTTTCCCATTTCTCCAATATCTTCCTCTCCATTCATCGCTTGCCATGTGTCCCCATCAGTAACTAACTGTGATGTGTCCATACCCTTCCTCCTATGGGCCTTTCGACTGTACACTTGGACATATGGCTTGAGAGGCCCATCAATACCCCCTTCTTCAAAATCCACCTTGTCCTCAAGGTGAAAATAAGGAAATGCAGCTTGAAACTCCTCTAATGGCTCCCATGTAGCATCACAATCATCCAACTCTGCCCATTGTACCAATATTTCACTCGTACCATCCAGGAGACGACGAGCTTTCAAAACAGCAGCCGGTTGTAACTGTAACTCTAAGTCAGCAGACAAGCACCTAGGCAGGGGTAGTACCACCAAAGAAGGATGAATAGCTCTCTTTAATTGAGAGACATGGAAGACAGGATGGACCTTTGAATATGAAGGGAGCTCCAACCTGTAAGCCACGGGTCCAATCTTTGCTGAAATTGTAAATGGCCCATAAAATCTTGGGCTTAATTTCTGATTAATTCTCCTAGCTAAAGACCTCAACTTATAAGGATGGATCTTTACAAAAACCGTATCACCAACCACATAATTCTCCTCCCTTCTCCCTTTGTCAGCCTGCAGCTTCATTCGCTGTTGTGCTTGACACAAATTCTGTTTTAGTTCCACCAAAATAGCATCCCTAGCCAACAACCATGTATCCACAGCTGCCACGGTTGTGCTGCCAGGTGTAAAAGAAATAAGAGATGGCGGGTCACGACCATACACCGCTCGAAATGGGGTCATTTGAATAGACCTGTTATATGTTGTATTGAACCAAAATTCAGCCCAAGACAACCACTTAGCCCACCCCTTGGGATGTCCACTAGCAAAGCAACGCAAATAAGTCTCCAAGGTACGATTGACAACCTCGGTTTGGCCATCCGTTTGGGGATGATAGGCTGAACTAAACTTTAATTTAGTGCCCGTTAGTTTAAAGAGTTCACCCCAAAACTTACTCATGAAAATTCTGTCACGATCCGACACAATGGATTTGGGAATTCCATGCAGCCGAATCACTTCCCTCAAGAACACAGCAGCCACGGTCTGAGCATCATATGGGTGTTTAAGAGTCATGAAGTGGGCATACTTGGAAAGCCTATCCACCACCACCAATATGGTATCCGTCCCCTTGGAAACTGGCAGGCCACCAATAAAGTCAATGGACAACTCCTCCCACACTTGTTGAGGAATAGGCAACGGTTGTAACAACCCAGCAGGCTTCAAATGATCATATTTTTGTTGTTGACAAATAGCACAAGCTCGCACAAAAGCGGCCACATCCTGACGCATTCCCTTCCAAAAAAAACACCAGCCACGCGCTTTAATGTCCTCAATTCCCCCGAATGGCCACCCCAAGGAGAGGAGTGAAACTCCTGGAGAATGGCAGCAAGATGAGGAGAGGATCGAGGGAGAACTAACCTGTTTTTATACCATAAACTTCCTTTGAGTACTTGATAACCCGGATGAGAAGTAGCATTTTGTACGACATCAGTGAAAATTTTTTTTGTCACTGGATCATGAAGGACCTCTTCAGACAGTCCTTGCAAGTCAGGGCTGGTGACCATGGTGAGCTCCTTGCAATCCATAACACGAGAAAGCGCGTCCGCTGCTGTATTTTCCTTTCCGGGTTTGTAACGTATTTCAAAATCATATCCCATCAATTTAGCCACCCACTTTTGCTGTCCTTCGACCATTAATCGTTGCTCCGTCAAATATTTGAGACTCCTATGATCGGTTGTAATGACAAAATGACGCCCCAACAAATAGTGACGCCACTTGTAGACGGCAAACACGATAGCTTTTAACTCCCGTTCGTAGACCGAGAGTACTTTATCTTTGTCAGAAAAAGCCTTACTGAGAAATGCTATAGGGCGGCCTGCCTGCATTAATACAGCCCCCATCCCCACTCCTGATGCATCTGTCTCCACAAAGAAGGTCTCATCAAAGTTAGGCAGTGCTAATGTTGGGAGCAACAACATCTCCGCTTTGAGAGCTTCAAAGGACAATTGAGCCTCCTCACTCCATACGAAGCTGTCCTTTTTGAGCAGCTGAGTCAATGGGTGTGCAACCTGACCATATTGTCTCACAAACCTCCGGTAATATCCCGTTAATCCCAAAAACCCACGAAGACCTTTCACATTTGTGGGAGTAGGCCATTGTGACATAGCTTCCAACTTATGGTGGTCGGCCTTGACACCCTCCTTGGAAATAAGATGACCCAAGTATTCGAGTTCGTTTTCCACAAAGGTGCATTTTTTTTTGTTGGCAGCGAAATGATTTTGTCTCAAGACATCCAACACTATCTTCAAATGGTCACAATGTTGGTCTAAAGAGTTGTTGTACACCAGGATGTCATCAAAAAAAACCAAGACGAATTTTCGCAGATAAGGCTTGAAGACCGTATTCATCAGTGATTGAAATGTAGAAGGGGCATTCCTTAAGCCAAAGGGCATTACAAGATATTCATAATGGCCCTCATGCGTACGAAATGCGGTCTTCTCAATGTCTTCTACCCTCATTCGAATCTGATTATAGCCTGATTTCAAATCTAACTTGGAGAAAATCTCAGCCCCATGCAACTCATCAAGCAATTCATCAATAACAGGTAAAGGAAACTTATCAGGAATAGTTACCTTGTTCAAGGCCCTGTAGTCCACACAGAAACGCCAGCTCCCATCTTTTTTTTTCACTAAGATTAAGGGACTTGAATACGGGCTGCAACTGGGTCTGATCATGCCCACTACTAACATCTCTCTGACAAACTTTTCAATTTCTTCCTTCTGATAGTAGGGGTAACGATATGGCCTAATATTAGGGGTGTCTGCCCCCTGTTTCAGTAGAATTTTGTGATCACATGCTCTAGAAGGTGGTAGTTCTGAGGGGGGTTGGAAAACATCATCATATTGCAGTAGAAGCTCTGCAACCCGAGGATCCTCATCGGGAGTACCAGTTAACTCCATTGCTGAATACCCCAGTTCAATATAATACCCCTCTGTGCTCTTCTTCCATGCGCGATTCATGCTCTTGTAAGAGACCTGACAATAAGATAACTCAGGATCGCCTTGCAAGGTCACCATGCTCCCTTTCCATGGAATCCGTAAGGATAATTTCCCAAAATTAGCTTGAATGTCTCCCAGGCCTTCCAACCACGAAAATCCCAGCACCACATCCACCCCCTTAAGACAGAATATGTAGAAGTCTTGAATGATTGACACATGAGGCAAGACTAGAGTGACTCCCTGACAAACTCCCATACCTTGGACTCGGTGGCCATCTCCCACCTCCACCCGAAAAGACCTTGATTGCATGGATGGGATCCCCACTGTATCTACCACATGCTCCCCAATGAAGTTGTGAGATGCCCCGGTATCCACGAGCACCATCACCTTATGGCCCTGAATCTTCCCCCATAACTTCAGCGAACGGTTGGAGGTGATACCCACCACACTTTGAATGCTGAGTTGAAGGGTCTCCAGTTGGTCCTCGCCCCCTGTCTCCTGAATCGGATCTTCATCTCCGTCGGCACCCCCATCGTCGCTCACAAGCATCACGCGCAACTGTGGGTTAGGGCACACGTGCCCAGGACCAAAGGGTCCTCCACAACGGAAACATAGGTTGCGACGCCTATGATCAGCCTCCTCTTCCGACGAAAGTCGACGGAAATTGTTTCTCCGGCGGCCGTCTGACGCGTTGGCTGTCGCTCCTGGTGGTTGAGTAGCACCTAGTTCACTCGTAGCCCCCCCAACGCGATTAGGATTCGCGAGGGTGTGGCTGGCTGCTGACGACACCTGGGTATTAAGTGTGTTGGATGTAGGGCTTTGGGCCGATGTTACAGGCCCATTTTGTTGCCATCTACTCCCACCTCCCTTATTTCCCAACGCGGGCCTACTTCCCCCCATATGACTATTATGAAGCCCAATCCCTGTACGGCCTACTCCACCATCTCCCCTTCCTAACACAGCTTCGCGTTCTTCAACCCGTTGAGCCAAGATCATCATCTCCCCAATATCTCCAGGTGAGTGCAAGCGAATTTCGGCTCGAATTTCCGGTCTCAACCCAGTCAGGAATGCTGCTTGCATTAATTCCTCATCCGCTTGTCCTAACGGAGCGGACAACACTTCGAACTGTTTTCTGAACTCAGCCACCGTCCCCAATTGCTTCAGTTCCATCAACGCTTCGTATGGATTTCCAGAAGGAGATGCATGAAAACGTTGTAACACTGCCGTTCTGAAGATCAACCACTCCGCCAATGGGTTTCGCGGTTCCCACCACTGGAACCAACTCAAAGCTTCTCCCTCCAAGCAAATCGATGCCGTCTCCAACTGTTCCTCTGGTGGAATTCGATTGACCCTGAAGTACCGTTCAGCTCTAAAGATCCAACCGTAGGGATCCTCCCTTGAGAAGTAAGGGACCTCCACCCTTTTCATTCTTTCTTCGTTCCTCACTATTCTCGCGTTGTTGTCGTTGTTTCCTCCTTGGCTTCCACTGCCATCACTGTTAGATCCTCCGGGTCTCCCAGCTCGAGCTATGTCCTGAAGGGTTCTCATAACTTCAGCCAGATTTGTTTCAATCCGACGAACACCTTCTTCCGTTCCTCCTACCCTAGCTTCCAACGTCTCCATTCGGTGGTCCATATTTCTTGTCAACACCATTCACTATTTGTTTCCCAGAAAAGAGCTTTGATACCAAATGTTGGTACCTGATTCTGGTACTTGGATAATTGCAAAGAAATAACAAGAAGAAGATGAATAACAACTTTTATTATAATCAGACTGAGGCATACACCATCGTGTCTACCCTCAGATTCATGACAACAAATTAACA